ATAATATGTGTGGGGGTGTTCTCCCTGAAATTGGTTTCCATGGATGCTTTTGTTCGCAACAACTTCTGGGTGATAGTGAAATATAGGTGTGGTGTTGCTTGAGGATTCCATTCCTGGTCTTTTCAAGTGTTGGTGTGCAGAACCTATTTAGAACCGAGTGGTATCTGTTGGAGTCTATTTGAGAAGCGCAGTTGTTTGACCCAGGAATTGCAGATGTTCATTGCTTTGTCACAATTTGTAGTCGGAATGCATGAGATATCGGTGGGAATTACTATAACAGTTACAAAGTACTGTTTACTTTAGAAATGTTCATGCTTGCGATAGTGAGTAGCAGGATCGCCATAGTTTCGTCAATTCAGTTTGGTGTTGATCGTTCATCTGTTTAGGATAGTTGCTTTAGTTGGATAATTCTCAGTTTTGTGCAGTGTTCTCAGCATTAAATGCTGCTACAGATGCAATCATTAGTAGCACTTGACCAAGAGAAAGGGCCAATTTTATATTAGGGGCAGTTTGTCAGAAACAACAAATCACCACATTAAATGCTCTACTTCCCACACATGTGATTTAACTGCTAAAATATTATGCTTTTGTTAGTTGTTGGTCATAAATTTCGGAAATTATGAGGACAGAAGCCTTACTTTCTGTTTTCTGCTATACATGTTCTTCATCTGGTCTCTATGCTCTCTAACTGTTCTTCCACGAAACCAGCAGGTCTTTTTATAAAATTCTTGGATCGTGCATCATAGGAGGTGTCTTTGCTGTCTTTCAGTCCTGACAGAATTCTTGCAGACAAACAGGTATGGGGGCAGCGTGTTTATGGTCGTTCTTCTAGGGTGTTTATTGACCTTTTGTGAAAGAATAGGTTTGCTGCCACAATTAATGTTTGCGGCTGCATAGCAGCCATTATTGCACAACCCGTGGTTAGCTTTGGTCGTTCTTAGGTGTCATTTATTATTCCATAGTTAAGGCGTGTGTTGTTGGTGATTACACCCAAGACATCTGCTCATTCTGTTTCTATGATTGCAGCGATGCCTCCCAAGAAGAAGAAAGCACAATATCAGACTCTCAAACCTAAGTGAAGTTCGTGTCCACAAAACCAACCCTCCTCGATCCAAAGTCGTTCTGGTCTTCCTAATGAACATGGAACACCAGGACACGTTTTCCATATCATCAATTTGAATCGAATACAAGCAGGGAAAACCATGACATCGATCCAGCTCATCAGGTGAAAGATCCCTACGCAACTGTCAACAATTCTGATCATGTTTTCTCTAATGATGGGGGTTACCAGAGTGACATCCCTACTTCTAAGAGGCCGCAATATGATGATGTTCTCGACATAGGGAAGCCGGAATGCGTCTGCCAGTTCTGTGGAGCCATGTTTTGGTACTTAGAGCGCCTGGACAGATGGCGAAGAAGCTCAAATCCAGTGTACACGCTTTGCTGTCAGAAGGGCAGGGTCTATCTACCGCTACTACAGAAGCCTCCACAACTATTGGCGGAATTACTTACGATTAATGGTGGCCCCATGTCGAAACATTTCAGGGATAACATTCGACCGTATAATGGTTCGCTTTGTTTTACATCATTTGGTGCCACAATTGATCCTCGCTCTGTGTCAAGCAGGGGACCTTATTCTATGGTGATATGCGGCGAAAACTACCATCGAATAGGTTCGCTGCTGCCACCCGAAGGAGAGAAACCAAAATTCGCACACAGCTGTATATTTTTTAGCCTGAGAATGAGATTGACAATAGGCTGTCCAATTTTACCTCCAGAGAATCACAGTTGTCCCCTGAGTTACTGACATCCTTGCTTCGAATGTTGGACAACCACAACGAGTTAGTACAGACATTCAGACAACAATTGCAAGACAGCAGTACGCCGAATCTAAAGCTGCGAATATTTGGAGCCAAGAGTAGGAATAGACAGTATGACCTACCAGCCAGTTCTGAGATTGCTGCACTAATTCCGGGTGATTTTGTTCCAGACAGAGATGATCGAGACATCATTGTTGATCATGTTCATGAAGGACTGAAGCGGATCACAAGCTTGAATCCAAAATTCGATGCGCTACACTTTCCTCTTTTGTTTCTATACGGAGAAGATGGCTATCATCCGTTGATAAAGTATAGAGCAGATAGATGCTCGCCTTCAATGCGAAGACAGTTTGTGACGCAACGAGAGTATTATGCAAACAGGCTACAATATAGGGAAGCTGAGGGGCACACGTTGGTGCAAGCTGGGAAAGCATTGCAACATTATTGTATCGATGCCTACTCTTCAGTGGAGCTCAATCGACTAGCTTTTTTGAGAACACACCAGACAGAATTGAGACCAGAAGTGTATCAGGGTCTGCAGGATGCCATGGCACGAGGTGACCTTGATGGGGACAAAGTGAGACACGTTGTGCTTCCGGGAACTTACATTGGCAGCCCACGATATATGCAACAATTGTACCACGATGCTATGGCAGTTGTGGAGTTTTTGGGCAATCCTGATCTATTCATCACATTCACATGCAACGCATTGTGGGATGAAATTTCACAGTCTTTCGACACAACTGTTGGTTCGCATGCTGTGGATAAACCAATGGTCGTCTTGAGAGTCTTCCATATGAAATTGAATACTTTGATTGACGACATAAAGAGAGAGTCTTACTTTGGAAAGACGATTGCAAGTAAGCAATTGTCCATGTATATAACAACTACTCATTTGACTGTTTATTGTTACCTTTCCATGGTTCATTCATTTTGCATGCATCTATGTCTTAAACACTTTTCCTTCAACACTTTGCCACTGATTGTTGTTGAATGATCGTGTTTTTTCACAGTTATGTACACGGTGGAATTTCAAAAGAAAGGCCTTCCACACATACATCTAGGTTTGGCTTGCTGAACAAGACAAGCTTAAGACGCCGGCTGACATTGATCAAGTAATCTCAGCAGAAATTCCAGACCCACAACTCGACCCGGTGGGATACGAAGCAGTTGTTAAGTATATGCTCCATGGTCCGTGCGGCGAGTCAAATACAGCAGCGCCGTGTATGAAAGATAAAAAGTTAAATGCCAACAAGAAATGTGGCAAGCATTTCCCAAAGGAATTCAATTCAGCCACCAGTTTTGATAAATTTGGAAACGTCGTCTACAAGAGATCGAACTCTGGGATTCATGTGCAGAAGAAAAATGGCGTTCTTGATAATAGACATGTCGTCCCTTACAATCGAAATCTCTTGGTCCGGTTGCAAGCGCATATCAATGTCGAGGTGTGTCACAAGGGCAAGCTAATCAAGTACCTTTTTAAATATGTTACGAAAGGCCCAGATCGATCGTTGATCATTGCAGAGGAGTCAAGCACATCAATGGCAGTTCCAACGACACAGTTTGGAAAAAACAGAGATGAAATTCAGCAATTCATTGATTGCAGATCCTTGTCATCATATGAGGCAATATGGAGGCTCAACGAATATCCAATCCACGTTAGAGAACCATCAGTGGTTCGCCTGGGGTGCATTTGGATGGCCAGCAGAAGGTTCCGTACAGAAAACAGACAAATGTTAGAAATGTTCTGCAAAATCCTAATGCTGGAAAGACACATCTGACTGAATGGTTTGTGCTAAATCAAAAGGATCCAGAAGCGAGGACCTTGACGTACTCACAGATACCAACTAAATATACATGGTTGGAAGACTGCAAAGAGTGGTCCCCACGCAAGAGGAACTTTGCAATTGGTAGAGTTGCATACGTACCACCAGGCAGCGGTGATGTATTTTTCCTTAGAATTCTACTGACAAAAGTTCGTGGAGCCACTAGCTATGTTAATCTAAGAACTGTTGAGGGAGAGATCTGTTCAGATTATGAAAAGGCACATAAGTTGGGGCTCTTGGCTGATTCGTCAGAATGGATAAGAGTACTCAACGAGATTTCTACTGCTAGCATGCCAAACGTTATTCGGAATACCTTTGTGTCAATGTTGATGTTTTGTGAAATACCCAACCCTTCTGCTCTATTTCAGGCCACTTGGCGTTACATGGGAGATGATTATGCATATCAAGTAGACAAAGGCGGTAGATCAGGAGAACCCAAATTGTCAAATGAGAGATTGCAAAACTGGGTTCTGCGTCAACTTCAGCAATTGCTCGGTTCACACTCAGCATCTTTGGAAGATTTCAATCTCCCTGTTCCACATGATATGGTTTCCGATGATGGCACCAATCCATTGATCAATGATCACCTGAATTTTGAAGTTGATCAACAACAAGCATTGTGTGCATCTCTGCTGAAATCTTTGAACAAAGAACAGCTCCACATATATTCAGCGGTAATAAATTCAGTCCACAACAACAAGGGCTGTCCATTCTTCTTGTATGGCCACGGAGGTACAGGGAAGACATATCTGTACAACGCAATCACAGCAAAGCTCAGAAGTTTATCAAAGATTGTTGTTCTGGTTGCTTCTTCAGGAATTGCTGCGACTCTTCTACCAAAAGCCACTACAGCACACTCAAGATTCAAAATACCCCTTACTCTGGACATGACGTCGACATGCCCGATAAAAAAAGGTACACATCTGGCTGAGTTGTTGAGAGAAGCTTCTTTGATAATTTGGGATGAAGCACCGATGACCCATCGTCAGGCCTTTGAAGCTGTTGATCGAAGTTTATGTGACATTATGAACATTCCACTGAGAGGGCAGCGTTATAGACCCTTTGGAGGTAAAACAGTGTTGTTTGGGGGTGATTTTCGTCAAACCCTTCCAGTGATAACAGAGGCTGGTCGTGAACAAACCATGGATGGATCATTAACTCGATCACATCTGTGGAAGTCTTTCACACTCTTGAGGCTACATCGAAATATGAGAATAAACGTATCTTTGCCTGGAGAAGAGGACTCCCTTAATGGATACACATTCCCCGCCTGGGTGCTGGCTTTGGGGGATGGGAGACTCAAAGCAAAATCATTCAAAAAGATACCCCGACAGATTGGGTGCAAATTCCACCAATGTTTCTGATACCACATGAAGGTAACCCTACTGAAGCCATTGTGGACGATGTTTATGATTCATTTGTTGCAAACTATGGTCAGCCGGCTTATCTTTCAAACAGAGCAATCGTCACTCCAACAAATGCAAAGGTATCCGAAATCAATGAATACATGTTACAATTAGTCCCAGGAGATTCGAAAGCATATTATAGCTCGGACTCATTGTTGCAGTCAACAGAAACTGCTGATGCTTTTGATCAGTGCTATCCTGTTGAATTCCTGAACACTCTGAAATTCAATGGAGTGCCTGACCACGAGCTGGTGCTCAAAAACAACACTCCAGTGATGTTGCTTCGGAACCTGAATCCTGCCCTTGGCCTGTGCAACGGGACGAGGATTATGATCACAATGTTGGGAAATGATATCATAAAAGGAAATATCATGGGTGGGACTCTCGACACGGATGAGGTTATCGTTCCAAGGATTGTGCTCAACATAGAGAACCCCAAGTGGCCATTCATATTGAAAAGACGTCAGTTTCCAGTTCGTTTGTGCTATGGAATGACGATTAACAAAAGTCAAGGTCAGACACTTGACAAGGTGGGAATTTACCTACCTGAACCTGTCTTCAGCCACGCGCAGCTCTACGTGGCAGTCTCAAGAGTGAAATCGGCCAGGGGATTGCGCATCCTGATAGACAACCCAGAGGACATCCCACATGATCACACAAGAAACATAGTATTCAGGGAAGCTTTTGCTGATATCATGACTGATTGAAACTTCTCTTTACATAGTGTGTTGTGTGTGATGCTGTTTTTGCTTTCTCCTCCGTTATGCTAGGGAAATGAGCGGTTCACCTGACAAACTTTTGTTCCAAAAAAGAAAATGGTCAGTTCGCCAAGAATTCCTGGCCAGTTATTTTGATGGTTCAGACATTCAGAGGGAGTGTGATCCTGTATATTTAAGGGTTTTCTTACCACGATTAAAGATTCAGTAATTACAAAAGCCTTGCTTCTTGAGTTGTGACTTGTGACCTTTTTATATGCATGTGTTCTTTATGTTCTTTAAACAGGGCTGCTTATACATGAAAAGTGCAGGTCTTTGTGTTTGCCTTTTGTGATAACAGCAACTCTTTCTGTTATCTTCTATTGTGAAATGGTCAGGTTGCATCGAAACAAAATGATAGGTATGTATTATGCGTTTGTCATTGCAGTAGCTGGATTTGTTCAATGTATTCATGTTGGATTCCTGGAGTTGGGTTCTTCATAAGTTCTTGAAGTTTAGGCCCGAAAACAACATGTTTAAGCCCGAAAAAGGATAGGCATGTTTATTATAAGGCCCAAAACAACATTCCGGCCTGTATTCTTTAGGCCCGCATTCACTTTACCTATGCCCCGCTTGCCCTCCTTCGACAGCACAGCCATTGTTCCGGACCTTCACAGGCGTCGGCGGTAAAAGCGGCGGCTTTCTACCACTGTGAAAACCCTAGCACCAAGGTAAGTCGCTGTCTGGTCTTAAACTCACCACTCAGTAGAAAAATCGCATTTCTCTAATAAAGATTCCTTCGATCTCAGCGGGCCCACGAACTATGGCAGTTTTCCGCCGAGACAACCCATTCGCCTCGCGGGATTACGAGGTCCCCACCGATCCCCAAGGTTCGATGTTTGTGTTCCTATGGGTCTGAATTGCTACTGCCTTTCGATTACTTCGCAAAACTTTGCCAGAAATGGTAACTCCACTTAGTTTGTTTTTGTCTCAACTGTAGACCCCATTTGCGCTTCGATGACGTTTCGCGGTTTGCGGTTGGGAACCAACTACCGTTCTGTTATAGCACGGCTTCTAAAAGCGTGGACAGAAGTCATTGACGGAAAGTTTTGGAAAACGCCAGCTCTGCGAATGCTCTGGATGGACAAGAAGGTTTGTTCCCGATTTCACAGAAAAAGAAAACAAATGATGGTTATCTATAACATTCTTTGACACCCACTAATCCCGCAGGAACGAGTTATTGAAGCTCTGGCATATGAAAGAGACATTGATAACGTGATGGCGAGGATCAACGTTGGTCGTTTGCATCGCCTAAGCACTATCGTTACAGTCCCCTCGAGTAAGAACAAACGGCTTGTCCCAGGAGAATTGCGGCTGCTCATGAGCTCTGACCAGCTGATTGAAAACATCGAAGAAGACTAGAACAGTCCTAAGTTTCCCATCGACTCATTCCTGAACTTCCATTTCTCAGTGGTCCCTGCAAAGTCGACAAATTTCCACTGCCACGCAGGTAAGACGTTGCACTTTACTTTCACGACCAACGCACCCTAAATATCCCATAACATATATGCAATTACAGATGTAACAGGATGCGTACGCCGAATTATAGTACCAAGGGTATGTCAGAATGGTATGGTTGATTTCCATCTGGTTATTTAAGACTACAGGTATACTAGAGCATGTACCTAAGATCATTACAACTTTCGGCATACAAATAGTATATCATTTGTTTGTGTTTGCAAAAAAATGGGAACAAAGCTGTTGTGCAGTACTGTGGCTACGATGTCATCGCTTACCTCCAACAAGCAGCAGATGTAGAGTCACACCTCCCGCTTATAACCACAGTTACATCGGTCGTCGTCGTGCCCCATGAGTGTAACGATGATGGAATATATGAGTTGGAAGCGACAAGTGCCAGCCGCCTGGTTATCAGTGCATACAATGAAACCACTGAGAAAGTCATGAATAGGTATTTGTTATTTTCTGACATTCTCTTAGACAATTTGTAAACTTCACGTGTGCTTTCATTGCAACACCTTATCCTAACATAAACATATATTCGCGAAACTTAGGTTTCTGCCATGTCGCAAACCGATAAAGTACGTAGCCTTTGGAACAACCGAAAGGATGGGATACTTACGCTACCCTCGGCCCCCAGTAAGAACACTTGCTCAGATAAAGGAAGACTTGAGCTCAGAACCACAACAGCGTGAGGTGTATAACAATGCTTTGAAAATTCCCAATATTAAAATATGTATCATTTGCTATTACTTTGCACTCTAACCTAACAACAACAATTTTCCTGTTTCAGACCCTCTACCGAACCATAATCAAGTTCACTCATGTCAGATACACAAATGACATTTGCAGAACCACCCAGGAAACACCAAGGTGAGTTTGAATAGTTAAATTGACCCGGCTGCACTTTTTACAAGAAACGCTTGCATGATTACCAACAAAGCTAACAGGTTCAAATATAACCAGGCTGCACTACCAAATCGAAGCAAGGTGCAAATCAGAATCTACTGAGGCTCATGTTTTCCTCAATCACGAGGCAGCTCTTTCCTTAATCTGCATGCTACCGCCAAAGTTTCTCAAGCTGAGCGAAGATGAAGTCAAAGGAATCATAAAGAAGAACTGCAAGAAGCCCTTTGCAGCAGAGCTGTACATTGCATGGCCGAGCCCAGGTCAGAACACAATGCCACATATCAGAGTTGCGACACTTTGGGATAGCTGTGCTTTAGACGATTGAACAACAACTTCGACCAGTTCCATTTTGAATAAGCCAAGCTACTGCTGATTAACTGCTCTTTGCTGTTCCTACTTAGGCCTTGACATACTTGACAGCACCTTAGGTCGTCTTTTGTGATGTACATGTCGTCCCCTATCATGGTGCACTCTTGACCTATTTTGTTTCATTCGTTGAAGTGTTCGTGCTGGCTGTTCTTTTCTAATTTGTAAGATCGACTGCTGTGGGTCGTAGATGGGAACAGCTCAGCCTTTGACAAGTAATCATCGTCCATGTCAACACCATTTTGAAGACATACTTATATATCGCTATGTGAATCTATCCTGAATAGCATTCTCATCTACCTAACTTTCCGATATCCTAAATAATATCATACATATGTTCTTGCCAATTGTATGCTCCTATACTTTTTAGCAGACTTATTTTGTGATCCCCTTGGTTATTTTCCCAGGTTCATAATGCCCCACGCTGTGTAATCAATTCGTGGATGCTGAGGTCATAATTCTGTAGAGGAATTTTACAATGCTATAGAGCATTGGTGCTATAGGTTTTTACTTTTATGGTACAACTTGAAATTGTACCTTTAATGTTATGGTACAACTTCAGATTGTACCTATATTTTTTGTACAAATTCTTTTATGGTACAACTTAAACTTGTACCTTATGTGATGGTACAACTTCAAAGTTGTACCATCACATAATGATACAAATTCCTTTATGGTACAACCTAAACTTGTACATTTAATGTTATGGTACAATTTCAAGTTGTACATTAAAGCACCAATACTATATAGCATAGTAGAAGTGCTCAATTCTGTAACCATTGTTTGATCAACATGTACTCCCAATGTACATACATATGTTCGCATGGTCGTTTATGTGGATGTTAGTTAGTAGTTAGCAAATAGCAATATAATTGTTTAAATTGTGATTCCTCCGATGCCAATCCGGCTTTGTAACATAGAAAGGTTACGAAAATCAAGCATACCCCGCGGCAGAGCGCGGGCTAATTACTAGTTATTATTAGCTTGTACAACTTTACTACGCCAACATTGGCGGCGGGCCGGCGGCATTGCCCTGCTTGCTTTTGACGCCTGGGTATGGGTCCGTATCATTCCTTTTCCAATGACTCTGGTGCCACATCTAATTCTGTGTCATGACGGAAGCGAAAGGGTAATAATAATAGTTGATCGAGTGAAGACAAAATGAACACCAAACCAAACCTGTTATGAAGTTGACTTTACTTAAACAACACTTAACACGTTCTAATATCCTAAGGCTTTAATCTAATCACGGTCGTGAATGATCATCCTCATTAAAAAATTGGCTTCGCTGCGGTTGGAGGCTTGGAGTGGAGGAGAAAGCAAAAATATATGGGGAAAAAAGTTGTTTTGTAAAAGTGCTGCAGTAGTAGCACCGTACAGATGGAAGGTGAATTTAGAATGAAGACAAGACGGCAAACTGCCGGGGAAGGGAAAGATCTCCCATTCATTGCAAAAACGTGATGGTAGTAAATATGAATTTGTCTCCCCTCCCTCAGTCAAGACCTTCCATGGACGGATCCTAAGGAATAATTAAGTTATGATGCATATGCTCACAGTAATTTTCTCAGTAGAGTACGTGTTCATAGATGCATAGAGCGTAGGTGGTCGGCTAGCCGTAGTGTTCCTCACGGTTGGTGGTCGGTAATATATAGGAGGTGGTTGCTCGGTTTAATCGATAATCGAGAAATTGGTTTTGGATTAAACCGAAACTGACTGACTACCACCCCTATATGGAGTTGTTGGAATTGAACGAACGCATGATAGATTGTTTTTTTTTTTTTTTGGTCAAAAGATATCATATATTGATAAAAAAAGATAGTTACATCCTGGACGCAAGCCAGACCCGGAAATCAAAGACGCGACATATAGTCGGATACAAAGAGAGGGTTTTTCTAGCTACCAAATGAGCTACCCTATTGTTCTTCCGACCTACAAATCGCACACTAAACGCAGAGTGGACGCGCAACCTTTGATCAATCTCCTCCAAGACATCACCCAGACGGCTATCCCTTATGTCGGCTTGGTTGATCTTATCAATAAGAACCTTCGCGTCCCCCTCGAACCGGACTTCTGACAAGCCACACTCCACACACCAAGCCACAGCCTCCCGCAACACCAGCAATTCCACCATCTGAGGCTCATCAATATGGGGGAACTGAACCCCCTTCGCCAATAGAAGCGACCGCACCGGATAGAAAAGTACCATTCCCCCAGCTGAGTGCGATCCATTCCTAGTTGCTCCATCCCACATGCATATAAAGCGGGCATCATCCTCTTGACTTAAGTGCTGCAGTATCGGAAAAGACCCCCTAGGGACCTGGTCAACTGGCAAGACCACTCATTCTTCAAATTGCTGATTGAATTGACGTTAGCGCAGGGATCCCAAATTGTTTTCCTTCAAAGACAACCCAATTCCGGGAATGCCATATCCGCCAGAAGATAGCAACCACCGCCATGAACAAATGTGGACGATGGATCAGAGTCAACAGACACTTAATAAACAAGGGGAACGTGTGCCGCGGCAGTCCCTCCCCCAAGTATTGCAGCCCCGAGTAATCCCAGAGGGCTCGCGCAACCGGGCAATCAAGAAACAAGTGCTCCATTGTCTCCGGTCTTTCCCAGCAAACCGGATATCGGGGGATCACAAGAACCTTTTTTTCAATGAGCGCTTTAGTAGTTGGTAAAGCCCGACTAAGGATTTGCCAGACAAAAACCTTCAACTTGGGAGGTATCGCTGCCCCCCACTGCCGGATCCAACTTGGCTTATCCATCCAACTAACCGAGGACCGCCATCCCCCCTCCTCCTACCCAACTCCACCGCTGATATGATCCCAATTGGATCAATCTTGAAGTTGGAATTGCTTGAGGAAAAAGGAAGAGAAGTTGGGAAGAAGAATGGAGGAAAATGGCTAAGTATGGAACCCAGTCCAACGAACCTACTTTGGAGGCTTATATCCCTCAAACCAATCGATGGAAATGATGGATCAAGGCATCAATGTGAACTTCAAGACTTTATGAGCTCATTGATATATCATGGAGCTCGAGGAGATTCCAGGAAGGATGTTTTTGAAGTCTCACAAAATGCTATGAAGAAACCTGGAATCTGTCCAGATTTTGCTAAGTCAAAAACTGTGTTCAGGATGCTACCTTTGAAGACCTATAACTGGAGTTTGGGAGATGATTTCGAGCTGATTCAAGTTGGAGGAGACAGAGGAAGTTCCCTTCTACAACGACAAGGGATTGGGTGAGGTCGAATCATCTAGGAAGACTATTTTCGAGGGCTTCAAAGAAGCTACCTCGCAGTGCCAGTAATCCGAGTCCCACAATGATTCCTAATTCTATTCGGATTATGTTTGTAATTCAGTTTTCTTGCTTAGTTAGTTTAGTTTCAATCCTTATTCTAGTTTGTTTGTAATTGTGTAAGCCTATAAAAGGCCTCAAACTCGTTTTGTATGATTCAGAATTGATTTTTGAAGAAAAACCCCAAATTCTCAACGTTTTGAGTTGTTTTGGTTTTGGTTGCGATCAAAACTTGCTGAACTTTGGCCTATTGATCGAGCAACCCCACTCGATCATTCAAAGGTAACCTTATAACGACTGTGCATCCTCCTAGGTGTGAGGATTCCATCTCGTTCCCATCCTAGTTCGTTCCAAAACAAGAGTCTCAAGCTTGTTTGTTGTTCCCTGCTGTTCATCGAGAGCCAAGGGGTTCAATCCTTGAGTTTGCTGCTAAAACTCTGATCCAACACCTGACTTGGGTGTTATCAACCGCCAAATGATAGGCCGACTTAACCGAGAACACTCCGTCCGCCGTGTTATGCCAGATCAGTTTATCAAGAACATTCTGCAGCGGAAGCGGGATATCCTTAATGGCACAGCAGGTAGGCGGGTCAAACCACTGACTCGGTTGTCATCATACCATTGCCCTTCCCCTGGGCAGATAACCTCCACCACCGAAGGGTCACCCCCTGCTGGCAAGACTTGCGGGTTATAACACGGGGGATCCAACTGGAGCCCTGTGATCCAGTTAGAGTGGAGAAGAGAAACCGAGTGACCATTCCCCACCTGCCACCTCAGCCCCATTTCCAATAACTGGCGCCCGAAGAGAATACTCTGCCACCCCCATGAAGGGCGCGATCGAGCCTACGCCCCCAGGAAGGTCCCCTAAGGGAAGTACTTCCCCTTATACACCTAACATTGGGGCTCATTGAGGATCCGCCAACCAATTTTTGCGAAGAAAGCCTGATTAAATTGCTCAAATCGGCGAAATCTCATTCCCCCATCATGTTTACTCCTGCACAGATTACGCTACGACATCCATCTAACCTTGGGATGAGCTTCATCCGCACCCCACCAGAAGCAGGCCACATGTCTATCCAATAGTCGACACAGAGAGAGGGGTAAGCGGAAGCACGACATAACATGCAGGGGCAACGCCAACGCGATTGACTTAATCAAAGTTTCCTTTGCCGCCCAGGACAGAGTCCTTTGTTTCCACCCCTGTAATCGCTCTATCAGCTTATCTTCCAAGTATCGAAAAGTAGTCATTTTCGACCTGGCAACCAGCGTAGGTAACCCAAGATATTTATCATGGACCCCCTACCGCACCCACTCCTAGAATTGTGGCAAAAAAATTCTTGATCAGGCAGGGCAATATTCTTGGTCTATGCAATGATTAAATTTGTTAATATATTTTCATTGCGTCAATCAAGCAAATGTTATGAGTTCGTGGGCGATCCAACAACAATCACATACACTCGCATAATAATTGTGAGCGTTATAGCAAAATATCATAGAAATTTTTTGAGTAATTTAAGGAGTGATATGAAGTAAGATATATGTTTTGTAGGTGTTACTGATCTAAATTTTAAACAAAATCAATTTCCTCTTCTTTTAAAATTGTTTTCCAGAATTAAGAAAAATATATACAAATCGATTATGCATGAGGATACGACATAAAAAGAATATCCCATTGTTTCTCACAAAAAAAAATTAAAATATTTTCTAAAGATTCTCGGGAAAAAATAATAAATTTAAAAATTGGGAGTGGACTACGTAATAACTACTTTAGTAGACTGATCACTGAGGCACTGAAGTGAAGGAAGAAAAACACAAAATTCTGTACCGCCCTTCTCTACCATTAATTCTCCATTCCATTGACTTTGCTGGCGCTCTCTCTTAACGCAGCTCGAAGCCGTGTCAGCCTTTGATTCTCCCAGTCCAGTCCATTAACTCCGACAAACCCCTCCTTTCCTTCATCTTCAACCACCTCACTCTCCACTTCAGTCTCACAGCCTCCCTCTTCTCTGCCAGAAACCAGCAGCTCGAACAAAAATGGCATCGGAAAGAGTTCTGGATTTCACCTTGGTTCCACTGGGCCTCATTCTAATGTCGTGCTACCACCTATGGCTCCTCTTCCGCGTCCTCAATCACCCTTCCAAAACCACCATCGGCGTCAATTCCATCAATCGCCAGTTCTGGGCTCGCGCTATGATGGCGGTAACAACCCCTTCCAACTTCCCTTTTCCTTTTTCGTTTCACCGATCAAATCAATTACAAGAGCGGCGGCAGAGTCCCCAGCCCCACATTCTGTGAACATGCACACCTTTAAATCCCGAACAAGAAATTTGATTCAGTGATACTATTACCGATACCGGAAGATTTCAGATTCGAATCCCTTAAATAACATCGATCGAATCGTCGTCGTATTGTCCCAATTCAATTCAGGAACCATCGAAGAACGGGGTCCTGGCGGTGCAGACCCTCCGCAACAACATAATGGCGTCGACACTTTTAGCCACCACGGCGATCATGCTCGGCTCCCTCATCGTCGTCCTGCTCGCGGGCAACCCCGGGGCCCGATCCGTCGACGGGTTCGTGATCGGCGACAGGAGCAGGGTCGGGCTGGCGGTGAAGTTGTTCTCCCTCTTGCTCTGTTTCATGGTGGCGTTCCTGATGACGGTGCAGTCGATCAGGTACTACAGCCACGCCAGTTTCCTCATCAACGTCCCCTTAACGGCGTCACACCCTCGTCATCACCTCCGCCAGCAGCAGCGGCAGGGCGGCGGCGGCCATCTGCTGACGGCGGAGTACGTGGAGAGGTCGCTGAAGAGGGGAGGGTATTTCTGGTCGCTGGGGCTCAGGGCGTTCTACTTCTCGCTGCCTCTGTTTCTGTGGATCTTTGGGCCCGTACCCATGTTCGTCAGCTGCTTGGTGCTCCTGCTTGTGCTCTATTTCCTGGACCTCAATTCCGAGGTGGAGCCCGGTCCGGTGACCCTTGGCAGCAATAACGTCTGAAAATCGTCGGCTTCCTTTGCTGATCGAATTCAAGTTCAACCATCGTTGAATGCTAGGTTAATGTGTGCGAAACTCTTTGCTCTTCCTCTTCGTTTTTTTTTTTTTTTTTTCCACCCCTGTTGTTCCATCGGTTAAAAGCTCTCTTTCGGCCATGGCTGTCAATGTCATCACACCTAATAATAACATCGCAATCCTCAACATAGATTTACGTTCAAATGTTCAAGGTTTGGTTTCTTGACCATTTGAACTTTGATTTGAGAGCACTTCTACAATGCTATATAGCATTAGTGCTTTAATGTAACACTTAAGTTGTACCATAACATTAAATGTATAAGTTTAGATTGTACCATAAAGCAATTTGTACCATTATGTTATGGTACAACTTTACAACTTGAAGTTGTACCATCACATAAAGATACAAGTTCAAGTTGTACCATAAAATAATTTGTACAAAAAGTATAGGTACAATATGAAGTTGTACCATAACGTAAATGTACAATTTTAAGCTGTACCATAAAGACAAAAACCTATAGCACCAATACTATATAATTATAGCATTGTAAAATTTCTCCTAATTTGATTATTTCAAAAGTCGTGTTCAATTTTGGTGAGGGCCTCTATACAATGTGAAGCCATATATATGTTTATCACTTTTTCGAGGTTTGACTACGACAATCTTGTCGTTTGAGGGGTATATGATCCACGATTGAACCTCTTCCAACAACTCGAGTTATTGGGATTAACTGGTTTATGACAGACAACGAATGAAGTTCGACGAACGGGTAAGTGCGGGAAGAAGAAAACGACAAGAGGTTGAGGGGAAGAGGTTTGTAATACTTACCTCTGTACGAGTTCAGAAATTGGAGATAGACTACTGGTGTTAAAAAAAATATATATCCTTTTTGTAAGCATACGTTCTACTCATTGAATGGAAAGAGTAGCCAAATAAAAATCCATGATGAAGTCAAGAAGTTGGATTAAGTTTGGATGAACAATACTCTAAGCTTGGAGTTTTGACCATCGAATTAACTTAGAGGTTGTGGCATCTAGAGGTGAGTCGTGAACTATAATGAGATTTGTGATGGGCCTATAACCCGAGCTGGGCGGGAATCGAAGGTGGAAAGCCCAAGTGGGATCAGACGAGCTTCTTCATGGCTGAAGACGGAAGGCCCAAAACGAGTAGGAGCTGGAGCTGCTGCTTGCGTAGGAAAACCAGTTGTAGGTATGTTTGATTTGTTATTCAGTTGTTGATTTAGTAGTTGCTAGGATATGCTCTTTTGATTTTGTAGGTGTAGGGAGATAAACTTGAGTGATTCTCCAAACCGTAGAAGATCAAGGTCTCAATCTTGTGAGCCTGATCTGTAGGATTGCTCCTCTATTTAAAGAGGATTGGAATGAATAAATGGGCAGCAGAATTAAGTTGAAAGAGAAGAGCAGTAGCTCTGGTTGGTTCTCGCCAAAAAGAGAACAAAATCACACCCCTGGTTTCCAAGTTCTAACAATTTGATTGAGTAAGAATCTTTACGAAGTAGATTTTGTATCCGCATATATATATATATATATGGTTGATTGACATTGGTAGAAAAGTTTAATTAAAGAATTTGGGTTACAAATAGAATTATATATCTAGCTAGTACCTACTTCACAAAAAAGACGTACAAAAGCGTGAATTTCATAGACAAGGATATTAATAAACGATGATGGTTTGCATGGGGATTGGAGACTTCCAAGTTCTCAAATTATCGCGTACTGATCTCAAACTTAACTTCCGCCCCGTTGCCAACCCTAATTTTGCCCATACCCATGAGTTTTTTACTATCCAACCCAATTTGATTGGGTATGAAATCCAAATAGATGGATATGGGTAGAATTTGATGGGTTTGTACCCATACCCATTTATTTGGGTTGGGTTGGATTTATAACAAATGGATTTGTACTCATGCTCAAATGCAAATTACAGTTTGGTACCTAAATTTAATAGATATGCTATTTAGTACCTATTTTTTTCATATAAGTCCTCAAAATATCGATGAAAAATTCCGTTTTGGTACCTAAATTTTTTTGGTTTTACATTTTGGTACCTAAACTTTTCAAGTTTTACAAATAGATCCAATTTTTGCATGTGTAGTTAAAACACCCTCAAGTAAATGGATATCCATATCCAACTCATACCCATTTAGATTATGGAAGCAATATCCATACCCATACCCAACCTATCTACAAACCCCCAAACCCATATACAATTCACCCATACCCAACCCATTATGAATGGGTTTACTTGGATTTGGGTATAATTACCCATGGGTGGGTAATTGCCATCCCTAGTGTTAAGGGATCCTTCACTATGTTTGTAGCTCGGCCCAAGAGACGACCTACCGGCTACCACAGCCGTAGGGGGTGGGTTGAACCGCCATTCGAACCACCTGCAAATAACCAAACCATCACGGGTGGTTAATGTGGGTGGATCGGGAATTTGTAAATCCCCTTCTCGTATTTACTTGGGTGGGTGGAAGGAAGGAGTAGTAAGTGGGTGGTTGAATTATAATTTGACATCGACCCATCTATAAATAACTCGAACCGCTCAACAATTCATAAAAAACAAAACTTGAACTATCACAGATAGATGATTAATGTGTGCGACCATAGGTCTGTAATCCCCTACCAGCATTTACTCTCGTGTGGTGGCGCTAAGTGAGTTGTGGGTTACCCGAATGACTCACACCACACTTTTCACATAGTTCTTTTTTACTACTATACTATGTAATGTACATTAGATATTGAAATGCAAAAATCATAAAATTTCTAGACATTTGGTAGATGGAACACTCAAAGATTTGATATGGCTGTCAAAGAATTGAGTTCCACACAAGTGAAGTGCCATAATTTCTAGGGATGTGCTCTTATAGTGACTTTCTTTTCCATGTCGACGAATACTTCACTTAAAGTGGCCAAATGAAGAGTTGGTATGCGTTACTAATAGAAACATTTGCACACCATAACTCACAAATACTAGTCGAATCTACGAAACTCAAAGTGGAAGGTGAATTGCTAAAAAACCTTCATAATTTGCAAGGAATTTTCTCGTAAAAGTTAGTCAACTTATCTATTAACTATTCGGAGAATTCGCAACCCAATCACATCCATCTACTATCCGCTTAATCTAAATATAAAAAAAAAATGTGAGGAAATAACGAGTTACAACGAATCAGTAGTGGGTCGGCGAGTTTGGGGCTAAAACTCACCCGAGCCTCCAATGCCCACAAATAATGAGTCGCCAAATACTGCTAAAGCAATCGAGAAGTGAAGAAAAGGCGTCCACTTGCATCGGCGTCGTGCGAGTTCCTCACGCTCAGTGTGATTTTCGGCAGCCCAGAAGAAGAAGAGCACTAGACTACAAACTACAAAGTGAGGCAACTTGTGCTACCGGAATTGAATGACGTGGACGAATCCTGGCCGTGACGTGTATGCACTGTTTTACACTAGATAAAAAGAAAAGCACAAAACAAAAAAAAAAGGAAAGAGGAGTATGGGCCTGAAAAGGCCCACAGAGTACCTGACAAAATTATCATTTTGAAGTGTTTTGATATCGATATGATACGCCACCAATGGGGAAATGCAAGTTAACTGCCACGCCAATACTTTTCTCTCGTCGTCAATTCCACTCTTCTTTCTTTTCTTCTTCTTTATAACGTCTATCCATTCATTCAACATAGCCAAGGATTCAACAAGAAAGTCGGCGAGGGATTATTAATCCACGAGGCAGATCAGATAAGAATCTGAAATCGTTCACCTTTTGGGGAAAGGAAGGAAGATTACATTAGGTAGATAAGCTTAAGCTTAAGCTTAATGATAATCTGGTTGACAATTTGGATCTTTCAATCTTTGAATATCAGATTGACCATAATGGAATCAATTTAGAACGAAATGATTCTTAGAAAATATGATTGGGTGAAACTATTATGAGTTGTTGGTAGATTTGGTCTGAATAACCAACTTGAAACATGAGGTTATGCATGAAGAGAAAAAATGGACGAGAGGAACTTTCGATCTAAAATATTTAAAATTGGATTGTATGTTCATAATTATGGTTGAATAATGATTCATCAGTTTTTTTTTATCTTGTATTCATTCTCATCTGAGGATTGATAAGTTGGTGAAGTCATAACAACTTTTCTTGATTCGTTAACAATAAGAATATTTGGTGGCAAACTCCATATTGTTAACTGTGAAACAAGTAACTTTGTTAGCAAGTCAACAATAAGGCCACTTATGTAATGCACATGGTTAGGTGTAGTTCTACTTCTATCCATGAGTAAACATCAAACTAAGAAGCATTCCAGGCAAAAAAAACACATCATGTAAAGTTTTTGAATTCCACAAACTCTTGTATTTAGAAATTCGTCATCACTAAAGAATTTTGGCCAAACAATAGATTCTACATCAAATCACCAATAGCTCGTGAATTATGAACACAATCCATAGAGTCCACAATCCAAACTCCACTTATTCTATCTCCCCTTCACTAATTTTACAAAAAAGACCTTAAAACTAGTGTTTGTAAAACCTTTTCGTATCAGCAGTTCGATCGAGAAAACCTCCTACTGAAATCTTAACCGGTTGATGATTATAGCAGTATGAAACGATAAGACTATAATTAAACCACGATTTCAATATAAAATGCTTTACTACTAACTTTTCTAATACAATCTCCGATAGAGTCTTCCAATCATCGAAACAAAACACAACCTCCTTTCTCTTTCTTGTTCTGTCTCTGCATGCCCTTCCATTTTGCAAGCTGTAAAAATAGGTAATGCCTTAGTTAGCCTTCACCCCCACCACACCTTATTATTCCTTCTCCCACAGACAAATGGCTTCAGCTTAGCTGCCAAAAAAGAGAGAAACTTCCTTCTTTCCTTCTTCACAAAGCTCCCTCCTCTCAACATTGGCCTGGTATTGAGGTCTTTCTCAAAGCTCCAAACTTCCATCTACCCTTTTCATCGAATGGTCCCCTCTTTCCAAAATTTCTTGCAATGTCACATTTTTCTCTTCTGGGTTTGGTGTTTTTGCAGGCATGCCAGGAAGACTATTATAACTGCTGCTGCTATGGATTTTGGTTTTGAAGCTTTGAGCTTGTGAAAAGGGAAAAAGGGGAGAGCTTTGGTTTTGTTTAAGGTATTTAAATACTAATTAGACAATATATAATAGTATCAAGAATGCCAGTTCCTCTTGCACCTTATCCAACTCCACCAGTTGCTCCATACAATCCCCCACCAGTTCCTCCTCCAGCTGCTGCTGCTGCTAATGGTAATTAATACTAATCTTACCATCTCCATCTAGACAAGATTTCATTCAGATTCTTCTTATCCCTTTTGGAATCGTTTTAATTTTAAGTGTTTGTTTTCTGGGGGTGCTTTTAAGGTGGACAAAGCCAGCTAGTGTGCTCTGGATGTAGAAATCTGCTGCTTTTCCCAGTTGGGGCAACCTCAGTTTGCTGTGCTGTCTGCAATGCAGTCACTGGAGTTCCTCCTCCTGGTATGGAGACAGAAAAGAACACTTCAAACTTTTTACCATATTTGATTACCTATAGCTTGAAAGGTCACTCTTGTTCATCTTTTTTTACTTAATTGATACAGGCACAGAGATGGCTCAGCTGGTATGTGGAGGCTGCCACACTTTGCTCATGTACATTCGTGGTGCGACAAGTGTCCAATGCCCATGCTGCCACACTGTCAATTTAGCCCTGGAAGGTAAGTAAATAAGCTTGAATCACTAAAATGCCAAAAGGGCATCTCAGGAATGCTGAAATGTGGGGCTTCTTGGTATAAAGTTTCAGCCTTTACCCCATTTGAGGCATGCATTTTTTTGAGAATTTAAGTGGTGTTCTTCCTAGCTAGCCAAATTGTGGAGGGTATTATGTTATGCTATGCATGAAAAGATGATGGATGGTCAAGCCTAGAGAAACCCCTCAAATGAATGACCCAAAATCCCCCTAAATTTTGACCTAATGTGCATTTCAGCAGTACTATCACTGTCCCTTCCAAGTTCCAAATGTGGGGTTTTTACTTTTTAGTCATAAAGTTCTAACCTTTTGGGGTTGGACTGCAATTTTGGAGGAAATACTTCGAGTGATAGTTTGGTTCCTTTGTGGGCAATTTTGTGTTTGTAACAGCAAATCAAGTGGCACATGTGAACTGTGGGAACTGCAGGATGCTGCTGATGTACCAGTATGGAGCTCGATCTGTCAAATGCGCAGTCTGCAACTTCGTTACATCAGTTGGAGTAAGTGTCTCCAGATCCATGGATATTCATCATAATTTAGTTCCATAGCTAGTAGCCAAATGTGACTGATGTTCAAGCCTAGAGAAGGAAAACCCCTCAATTGTGCCATTTGCCTTCCTTTTGTACCAAGTCTGTATTGCCTTCCTTACACAAAATGTGATGACCATCTTGCCAAATGGTTGCAGGCCTTAGCAAGCACCCCTGAGCAGAAATTCAGCACTGCTTGATCTTGTGGTCTCTCTTGAGACCTTTTTCTAAGTACTCGTCGACAACAATTGAATCAAAAAGCCAGTGGCGCGGAGCAAAGAGAACTTCAACTCCAAGTCACAATGTATAGAGTTGATTTCCACCCCTTTGTTACTTCCTTTTAAATAAACCAGTTTTGGTGTGAAGTTGTGTTCACTATTGAACTGTATGTTATAACTGCTATCAGAAAGTTTATAATGTTGAGATAAGGAGGAGGTTTCTGTTCTGGAAAGACCTGACTGTTCAATGGCTTGGAAGTTACATAGAAACATATAGTACTACTGGTGGCCCAAGACAGATATTTGGGAGCAGAAAGACAAAGTTCTGAGAGAAAAATGGGTCTTTGTGGTTGAAAGCAAAAGAAGAGAGCTTTTGTGGTGAAAACCATAGGAATTTTTGTGTCAGGGAGATCACTTTCAAAATCCTGAAAGAATCTTAATCTATGTCATTATCATAGTTTTCCTCTGTCAAGTTTTAGGTTAATGGTGGTTTATCTAGTCTTGTATGTCACCTTTGAGTGCCTCAGTTTCTGAAGTCTGGTCAATCAGTTGTATGTAGAATTGATGTCATACTCAATAACTACCTTGTGATGGAGGATTTCACCTGTCACTAGACATGTCTGAAAATTCATTTTTCTCCCACGATTTCGATATGTAAATCTTACATCTCCTTGTACTCGAGACATAGAATGGACGAGATTAATCAATATGATCGAATCAAATTGGTAAACAACGGATCAACACTATACATGTAAATCATCAAAAGCATACTTACCGAGCATGGCAGAAAGTTAACTGATTTAGAAGATGTAATTTCTCACAGACAAAGACTATGCAGCAACATGGTATCAAAAGGAGCACTAAATTGAAGTGGGGGATTGGTATATTCTTCTTTCTGGTGCTCATCCAAAAGAGAAGCTGGTTCCCTTTGCCATTATTGAGATCCAAAGGAAGGAACTTTGTTCTGTGGTGGTCTCTTTCTTAGACCAGGACTGATAGCAAGAAAGGGTGTCCCCAATTTGGAACTGTCTTCATGTACTACACTGTTTTGTCATGGTTCCTAAAGGGCTCTCTCTCACACTTATCAGAGTCCAAATGGGGGCCATATGGATGGAGACCTTATAAATTGTAATGTATCATTCACAAGTAAGAAAGCTGAGTGAGTGAATGGTTTGTGCCTGCCAAAAGTCTGATGGAAATCCTCACTTTCTGCTGCTAGTGTTGTATGTATGTATGTATTATCTTGTCCATGTTGCCGCATCCAAGCTGCCCTTCTCAATTGGCAGTATTGTTCTATGTCATCACTTGCTCGCTCGATGCTTCAAACCCGAGTTTCTCCACTCAATATGAAAACTCAAGGCCATTTCAATTATATAATGTCAAAATTCGATTCGTCAAAATAATAGGATGTCTCTGATGTTAATTGATTTATGTGGAACCTGAAAACGAAAAAAAAATAGAAGATTACAATAAACAAATAAAGATGATGTGTCTCGAAAATGGTAACATGAGACTACAGACGCCTTGCCATCCTCTAAAGTAAAGCAACAAAAAGACGTATGCTTGTTGATAGGTCATAGGACAACGAGTGTCTCTTTGAGTAGGGGTCTCACTACTCATTGATAGATGATAACTCCCCATGTTTGGTTTGAGGGTTAATGAGAGAGGTGGAAAGATTGGGAGCAAAATGCAATTTCTAAGGCATTTGCATTTGTTCGATTAGTATAAAGGAGGAGGAAATAGAGTACACAATGAAAATTTACTATTCCAACCTCCCACTCAATTTGGTTCTAATAGAGGAGGGGGAGGAAAAGGAGGAGAGATAGGAAGAAATTTTCACCCATTTACAATCTTTTTCACTTTCCAAACATCTTACTCTTCTCAAACTTAGTGCTTCCTATTCCCCAAACATAGCAAGTCAAGTTGGAGGGAAGGGATACATGATCTTCTACTATCTCAATATGTACATCTTCTTATTTCGTGCTAAAGTCAGAACTTAAAACGAGGAGGAGCTGGAAATAACAAGCTGCAACAGATTCTCTTGACTGAACATAAATTTTGGATGGGGTTAATAACCTCATAGTAGTGTAACGTTAAATAGAAAATTAAGGGTTGATTGTAGCCTCTCCTGAACTACACGTAGCTCCACCACTAATCTACTTATAAGAATCCGTTAAAATCTCCTATCATCCCATACGGATATTTATAAGTTTATACGACACTTGTTCATTTTTTAAGAAGATAAGATCTTAAATCTTCGAACTAACAAGGAAGTCTAATAAAAGATAATCACATAACCAGAAGAGATTTAGAGCTATCTTGTATGCATCATATTCAAAGCCAGCCGCATTACAACAAAGAAAGTTTCATTGTGAGGAGCAAATTTAGTGAGTGGTCAATTTACCGCCCATTGGAAATTTAGTAGTTGAGTACCCTTTTCCTTTTAACAAAGGGTAACAAACAGTCTGATGAATTACAAAATGAAGACAAGAAATGGGAAAGAAGGAAAAATCCAGAATAAGATGTGCCCCTGCCTCTGCCTCTGCCCCCACAGAAATCTCAATCTGCACTGGATAAGGATTTCTTGCCCAGCCATATTTGAAGAATGATTGATAGTAAATTTTGTCCAATTTTCATGGCAGGGAGGGAAGGGAAGGATTCTGCAAAGCTTTAGTTTAGTTAGTTAACCTGTCATGGTTTCATAATGAAATGACTAGTTAGTTGCCTATATCAGAGCAACGTCAGAGTGATGTGGGCGAGACGTATCTGGCTATGGCGGTGGAGACAAGGGGATCTAAACAGGCAGCTGATGTGGTGAGAACATCAGACATGTTGCGGTCATGTAGGAAGCCAAGTAGCATTGAATCAAGTTGTGGTTTTGATGTTGATTCGAGGTTTCGAGCCGTATATTATTTGGTGTCATTTCATATTCTCGGTTCGGAAAGGCACGCTGTCACAATTGAATGACAGATGACAGAGTAGACTTTCTTGGTATACCCGAAGCGAAGGAAAGTCGAGAGAAGAGGTGGTAGCCTTCCATGCAAGCTGTTGACGCAAGTCTTCTGTGGAGGAAGGAAGCCAGGGAGTAGCACTAGTTGATTGAAAGGACTAGCAGCTTATAATGTGTTGCATTCAAGATATATATGGTTTCACAGTATGACAATTTGATAGGATAGCAGAATCACATGCTAAAACCCCTAAAACTCGAAATTCCAATTAAACCGAGCCAAACATGATGACATACATACAAGTTTCGGTCTGCACCGAACCAGGATCTTACTCGATTTGGTCTTTGATCACTAACTAAAAAGGCATGTTGTCCTGTCAAAACCAAGCTGACTATCCGCAGGTGGAGGATCAACATTCTGAGTTTAACTTGTGTTATACAGTGCAACCTAAACTCAGACAATCTCTCTTCTATTCGTCAGCCATGGCCAGCTCCAAAGCGTAGTCATCTCGTTCCTGTCATTGAATCGTATTATGATGTGAACATCGATCGATTTCACCTCTTCTCTGCGAGTCTTAAAGGATAAAGCATGAAGAAACAAAAGACTTACAATAGGCCCTCGAGCAAAATATCTCCCGAACTGAAGCCAATATACCTGATGCATACAACAGAATAGTGTGTTTGGCATTGCCTTATGAGCACAACACATACTAACTCCATATAGGAAGAAACCCGGGCAGAATATATAAAGCTCGAAAAAATTGGGCAATGTACCTCATCCTCGTCTTGTGTTTCGACTTCAAGATCTGAAGACGGGAACCCGAAACAAAGCAGTGCATATCCCTGCACATCCAAACATCAGATGCATAGCAGTTGTTACTACTAGTGCAAGGAGTTCAAATCTTTTTGGTTCCATAAGAAATGAGCAACCATGCCTTATCTTTGAGCTCTGTAGATATCCCTAGAGCTTCTGGCTGTCTGAGTTGTCCAGATTTTACACGTACTGCACAACTAGTGCAACAACCTGCAGCAAGAAAACCTGTTGATGAGCGACAACTTAAACGATAGAGTAAAACCTACTTGCAGCCAGAAGATAAGACAACAAAACACAACTGTAAGTTATGTTCAAACGATTCAACTCAACCGCCTGAAGTTTAAAACACAAATGTCGACTGGGGACCAACTTGAAAGGACCTGATGGAGGTCAATTAGTTGATCAAGCAAATGGCTTTCCTAGAGCAACTTGCATCATCGCAGGTGAAAAACAATGAAAAGAGAAGATCTCCTAGCGAGTTAACGCAAGAAGAGGTATGTTAGGTTCAGTCCTCGTTCCAGTAGAGTACCCCATATGTGAGATTTTCTAAACGGATACATACTCCTTCAAAGTTCAAACTGCCCTAATTCTGATAATGCCTAAAATAAATCATATTAGTTGAACAAAGCCAATCTGATCATCAAACGAAACTCTCATTTCCATAGCTGAACAGACCAATCTACAGCACAAACAGGAGAGCCCACATGCAAGAACTACAACATCCCCCAAAACTCATTTCTAAGAACCCATCTTTGATCAACAGATGGGTTTGCTAAATTAGTCTTCAATGCGAGACTAAGTGAATTCAGAGGTCAAAATTGGACTCTTTCAACCATCGAGAAGCGACATTCCAACCCACATAGGACAGAAATTCATTGCTTTGACATCCTACCCTAAATTCAACTTGACAATGCATTCACAGAAGGGTAATAAGAATTCCAGCAGATATACAGACTAATACCATGCCTGCATGCAAACGGAAGCGTAATGTCCTGCGATTCCGCTGTGTGCAGTATATACTGATCCTGCAAACAAAAAGTTCATCCCAACAGATCTCATGAAGCAAAGGGTAACAGCAACAGGATTTTGTAGAACTTCGACCCCAATTGCAAGATGAAGGGGGGGGGGGGGGGGGGGAACCCACAGCCGTACCTCCGGGACGACGAACTCGTGGACGACGCCGCGCTGCCGGTCATGGACGGTGACTTTGTGGGTGGGAACCGCCGTCGGGGTGACAGTGGTGGATCGACCGTTTACTCCAACTGGAGTCTGGAGCTCCGATTTTGTTCTGGGCGGAGCCCATTTCAGCCTCCGGGAGCTGGTAGCGGAAGGATTGGGGATGGAAGGGAAGAATGGAGATTGGAGAGGGGTGGATTTAGGCCGAAACAGAGATGAGGAAGTGGAGCTGCAACTGCAGGAGACGATAAGGTCCATCTTTTGGATGAACGATTGAACGAGGCGATGGATTTCTTTCCCTCTCTATTTTTTGGCCATCCGTTTGGCGGGTCAAAAATATCAATTTGGTCACTGAACTTCAATATAGTATCAAATGGACCTGGTTCAAGTTCAACGGAGAAAAAATAGTATCAAACTCGTACCATTCTCTGGGAACTCATTGTTACTCCTTTTTTATGAGTCATGAGGGTAGATGTGTTAATTTCTCTCAGTTGCTATGATTTGAAGTCAGCCTATCTGTTATCGACTAGAAGTAGATAGCTTGATGTATGTTAGTGTTGTCATCAGGTTTATGGTGCAAACTCAAAAAGAATATTGACTAGCTTTTAAGATGATTTTTCGATATCTTAAAGGTACATCTTATTCTTTGTAAAAAAAAGGTACATCTTATATATGGATCATTTTTGTATGTGGATGGTTATTTTGGTTCTGATTATGATGGAGATGTTAAATGAAAGTGATTTAAGAATGGTTTATGTATTCACTTTTAGTGGTTATATGATTAGTTGGAATGCATCTTTGGAATTGGAGCCTATAGTACTTTGTCTACCACTTAAGCATAATACATGACATTGGCAGAAGCTAGCGAGGAGGGAATATGGTTGAAAGATCTTATTAGTGATATGGGTTTATCATTGATCAATTTGTGATTTATTGTGACAGTTTGGGTGCAATATATTTGCTCAAGAAACAAGTCCATCATTAACAGACTAAGCACATAGACGTGTGGACGGTGTGGTATTATTTATGCTCCCTGCTTTTTTTCATCCTTTATAACTCAGACTTCAGCTTGAGAATTGAGAAGAGGATTAAAGTGAAGTAGTCGCGAAGCTGATTCCTCATGACAAGTTCCAACACTGCTTGGATTTACTGAATGTTCTGAGTTGTTGATTTCCTTAAGGGCATTCAAATGCATGAGAGATCAGTCTGACCATACTTGAGAGAGAATTCAAGTAAATATGAAAATTTGCTACTTGAAGTCAAATTATATGTCATTGATTCTTGAAGGTGTCATATATGTATATCTTCTCATCCCTTAGTAATTTGTATAACCTTAAGTATAGTGAAAATTGTTTGTTCTACCCGTGAATTAGCTTGTGCACATCATGTTAATAAACCATATAAATTTGTGTGCTCTTTACTATTATGGTTTTTTCATTCTGTTGCAACACTTTTCTCTTTTTCTACTTCGCATAACCTATTCGATAGCATTTAAAAATAACTACTTCAACTCATTCTTTGAAGGATTTGATCTACGTGCAACATGAGCCACCAGATAAGTCTTTGTTCTCTACGTTCTCATGTCCAAATTTCATGGACTACCAATCGCGGTATTGGACATTCAGTGGTAAATGACTGCCTATTGCTTCGTGGTACAGAAGCCCAAAACAGTAAACTGGGAAACCCCATAAGAAAGCAGACGGGCCGATAAGCTACAAAGCCCAGTCGATCTGCCTTCACTTTGTGTTACTACGCCCCACAAACTATTTTCTAACTTCTAATTTCTAAGTTCCCAACTATGGTGGAAATAGGTACGGTATCATTATCATATTCCAATTCCAAATATCGAATAGTATCTTAAAATCAATTCTGATTTTGATCTCAAAATAAATTCGTATCTGAATCCTAAAATATTTCAGCCGGTATCGGTATTCATGGATACCAAATTAGTTACATTCGCAATTAATAATTAAGTTTATACATAATAAATAATGGTTTGTCCACTTCTAATCCATAACATTTTTATATGGTATAGGTTTGTAGGTTTCATTCCATGATTGAAAAGCTTGGTGATGAGAAGTTGAAGTGAGGAAAAATCTAAACAAAAACTCATCAAAATATGCATTGAATAGATTCAATCAAACTCCCTATTGAATGGGTTCATCACATGTTCTCGTTTGGGGGAACGAGACTAAGTAAATGGTCTTGAGTTTGTCTAAAACTAAGACTAGGACAAGGAGAATAGATGAGATGGTGATATTACAATATCTTGCCATTGGTCTTATTTGATTCGATAGATTGGAGGCTGAAAATGACTAATGAGAGTGTCCTCTTGGCATTCTGAAAATAATAAGAGATTGAGTGAGATATGAGAGTGATTTAGGAAAACTTGAAATCTAAGTTTAGATTGGATGGAGGCTTGTGAGTTGTGTAAGAGTAACGAATGACAAGATGTTGTGGGCTATATTTATTTAATTCTAAATTTTTGGTATTCCTTGCTATTTCGGTATCTCAATTTTGTAATTCCAAATACCGAATTAAATCCCAAAATGAATCTCAATCTCAATTTCTAAAAAAAAAAAATTCAGTATTCGATAATATCAAATAGTAATAAATCCATTAGGTCATTCTATCTCAAATACTGATACCAAACTTTCAACCCTCCCCAAGAGCTATCTATGTATAATAATTTAGTCCTGCCATTTTTCTCAATCAGCTCAACTAGACATGCATGCAAAACGTGCAAAAGAAATCTACTGAAGAAAAAAAATATATGAAAGGATTATTCGAACTCCGTTAAAATTATCGATCACACATGTCACTCACAATTATAGATATATATTAGTTAAGCACTAAACGTCTATTTTCGTTAATTAAATGAGAAATTTTAATTGGTCCTCCTCCCAACATCATTATCATATATAGCTGTTCATTTTGATCCAATCCTGAACAATAATTCACTCTAATCCCTCCACTTAATAATATATATCACATATAATACGTGAATAGTTAGGTAAGATCGAACGGTTTTAGTTTTATAATGACGGCTGCTTGTACGTATAACCATAATTGATGTTGTGGATGGTTGTCATTTTGCGAAAAACTTGGGCAACAATGTTGTTGTCCGAATCAGGGTTCCATTTTCTTCAATCAGTTAAGTTGCTCGCCCAACCCACTTCCAGAAACCCTACCCAACTACCTTTTGCACTAGTTGGCATCTACTACTATTTCTTTCGTCCCAACCCAACATAAGAAGTGGGGCAGTTAGTGCCATCCACCGGACTATTACGATACAAAAATATTCACCCCAATCGAGCAGAACCTTCAAAACTCACGGAGACTCGAGATCGAGATCGTACAAAAACTCGAGCCTTCGGTTCAGGATAGGCAAGGTGAATAGTGGCAGAATCAGAAACTCGAAAATGAGGTTGTTCGAAGATTAGAAGTTCAGGAGACATGACTCCATAAAGTGGTAAAAGTCTTATAAATTGTACTCTTTTGAAAAATGTTGCTTTTACATGTATTTATTTGTGTGCTAGTTTCGTCACTGATGCAAGGGGGGTTCGAGGTTCTCCTAGTACGTTAGAATTAATGCTTCTACGTCATAGAAGAGTCGGTACGAAAAATATAATTAGAGTAGCAGTAGAAACCAAACCTACCACTGTAAGGTCGTCATTCTATCGTTGATACTGTTGGAACGATGACCTGATTTCTTTATGTATCTCTTTATACTTACTATTATCTTCTAAGTACATTGATGTATATACTTAATTGAGCATCATCCAAGTGCAATTCTAGTCCACCCTATAAATATAGTTGGAATGCTACTTGGAGCAACCATGGGTGAGGCAATGAGTTGAGCTTGGACAGATGGCCCCGACCCTGTATTCTACTGGCCGTATTTATACTCGCTCATATTATCCACTAATATACTCGACAATATTGGGGAAAATGTACTCATACCTAAATTACATTATCATATTGTCAGGTGAATACGAATACGAATACGATTCGAATCGTGTAATTACCAAACACCTATTCTCCGTGTATTGACCGGGTCGGACCGGATTGGGTTCCCATCCCTAAGCAACATCAAGACTAGTAATTGTTTGACCTAATCCTGTTATTATTTCTTCGTCACACACATATGTAGGCCCAAATGAATTCGTCCAAGTATGACGCCAAATTTGTGTTCTCGTAACTATTTCACTGAACACTGATTTTGACCCTGACATAATAACAAAAGAAGAAAACCAAACCCCAAAACCATCTGGACCGTCCAATCGACACATTGACAATCGAGCGGCTGAGAATCGCTTTGGACACTTCCAACACTCTAGAATAGGACCACGACTTTTTTGGATTATTGTTCATAAATTAATAAGCCTTTAGTTTATTTTCCCACTTGTCCAAACAAAGTTCATCCACAAAAGCTCTAAAATAGAAAAAAGGTCTAGCCCCTAGGAAAGGGATCTTTTTTAATGGGTGTGAACCTAAAGGAATTGATCCCGTTCATACTACATCATCACAACTTAATAATTTCTCTTCCACCTTCACGAATAAATGTTTTTGACTTTGGCCTTCCATAACATTGAGTTTACATAAGAATATACCTAGACATCGTAGTGGAGTCGAAATTTTATGTATGGATGGATTAGGCATAGTGAGGATTGTTTATGCTTTCGTGGAGTGAGCACGTACATACACCCGTTGAATTAAACGCGCACACACGTAAATCATTATATATAAGTATGTATTAGTTATTGATTGATATAATGTTAAAAATTTGAAATTTCGTAATTAATAAAAAAAAGTTTGAAATTCTCGATAAATATTATTTGAAGTTACCAGATTTATCTCTATATGGAGCTACCATTTTTAAATTTGGAAAGAATTACAAACAATTCAGATGAAAACAGGTCGAGAATGAGGCGGGCCAAATAATTGATATTATCCGTCCAAAACAGATAAAACGACCGGTACAAAAGCGACATACGATCAAAATTAACATCCCTAATTAATACTTATCCACACTTTGTTTCTTCTTATCCATGTCATCTAACAAGATTAAGATGTTAACTTTTAACAAACAAACATAATTGAAGCCACTCAACCCCCAAGTTGGCCATAACCCAAACTTCCCTTTCTTCCAATCCAAAAACCCTTTCTTCCCCCCTTTTTCTGTATTGGTTTCTGTCTTCTTCTTCTTCTCCCATCTCCTCTTTTTGGGAAACCCAATGCCCATATAACCAAAAGAGCCAAACTTGGAGAAGAGGGCAAAGAAAAAAATGAGGAAACCAATGTGAAATTATTAAATATCTCACACAGGAAAGCAAGTAGGGTAGGGGCGGCGGCTCACCTAACCCCCAAAACCCCACCCATTCCACGAACCAAGACCACCATCCAAACCCTAATCTCTCTCTCTCTCTTCGTATCCACCTTTGCCGGCCACCCATGTACGGCCGCCGCGTGCCATCGACTACCACCGGCCACTCCATTTCACACGTGTCGAAGACCCATGTCGACCAAATTATTCCACCACCTGGCCCTCTTCAGGAGTTAACATTCCCCCTATGGAAAAGAGTCAAAACACCCCTTTCTGTAGCAGTGATTCGGTAGTTTTTACAGTTGAACAATCTTTTTATAGGGTTTATGAAGCCAAAATCAAGTTAGCCCTTCAACCAGAGCTTGCCACCTGCAATAAAGTCGCTATCAGTACATGTTGATAACGTTGGATCATAACTTATATTGCTCAACGCCACTTCTGAAAACTACAATCATCTGGTATCGATCGGGCTAGCTTCCGAGTTCGAGTCATCATGATAGAAGAAATGTTGTCAGCCATCAAGCTTTCCAAAACTGGGGAATAACATCAACTTATGAAACACCACTTACCACCATCCATTTATTGGAAGGAGGGAAAAGAGGAAGAAATCCGAATCTTACAAGGAATACCAACCCTCCTCTTTATTACTTTCTGGGTTCTTCTCCTTTCCAAAATATATACACACATTACATATATACATTATCACAAGCCATTCCTTTCTCCACTTGGAATGGACACCATTATATATAAGCTTTATCACATTCTACGCAACAGAGAACAAGTGGAAAGATGCTATCTAGCTAAAGTATATTTACACTTCTTGTTATATGAACAAACAAGTGGGAAGATGATGCTATGTTCTTGCTTTTGGTGGTTTAAACCATTATTTTGCAGCTATATGCAAACATAGTCTTCTACTCCATACACTACAAACAAAGTAATTCTACTTCTACTACCTTTCCACCTTCATTTTCAACTATATATGCATTCATCCTTTTTCCAGACTTCATCCCCCACTTGTGATTGCCCTACTGCTTCTGTATAAACATTATGCCCCTTTCCCCACCAAGCTGATGAGAAAGGGCTATTGATGAGTGATGCCACCAAAAAGAAACCAAAAGGAAGCAAATTACAATACACTACTCTCTGTTTTTCTCTGTATAACAAACACCACCATCCATTCTTCAGTTTCATTCATTAAAAATTTACCATTTGCCTTCAGTACTCTATGATGAGCCCTCCCATGGGGGCTCTATGAGGTATCCCCTTCCTGCGCTTTGCTGTCCTGAAACTCGTCGAAGTTGGAGGTGGTGTTGACGGAGAGAAGCTCTCGATTCTGTCGATGATATTGCTATAATGCCCACCACCACCAACGCCATTGTACTTGCTCTTAAAATGCCTCACTCCATGGCTATGGCTGCTGCTGCTGTTGTAGGATTCCTCTGAGTCCGATCCCATTGCAGTTAATTGCTGCTGCTTCCTGCTCTTCTGGAAGTTCCCTGATGTCCCCACAATCTAAGAACAAACAATACAAACCAACCCACATTAACCGAAAATGATCATAATTAGCCCATTCTTAGCTTAAAGTTTGTTAAGATGAAAGCAATTGACTGATAAGCTCTACATACCTTGCAACCAAGTGAGCAGAAGCGGAAGGAGTCAAGGAGACTGCGCTCACAGACCTCACAAGTGTTGGTGACACCTTTACCCGGCCTTGGCTGAGGCCTTTCGTTCAAGAACACGACTCTAGCACTGTTGATTACATAGGTCTGGACGCCAGTGATGTCCAGTACCTTCTGTATCTCGTTCACCCTGATCACATCATGGTAGGAAGACCTCCTTATCTAGAAGAAGCAAAACCAAAATGTCAAGAAAGAACCCAACTGAAATCAAGCAAAACTACAGAAGCACCCGTTGAGTAAAGAAGAGACTCATGAATGAAGATTGGGGGAAATGGCAAGAGTTCAAATGGGAATGCTAGAGCTTGGCTCAAATGAAGCACCCAAATGTCAAGTCAATACCCTTTAAATACCAAATAGGAGAAGACCCATCTGAAATCAATCAAAAGTTACAAAAACCCATGGAGATGATTTGAGTAAAGAAGACAGAATGAATGCAGATTTTCCCTCATTGGTAAAGTCAAAGGACTGGTAGGGTTTGTGTCAGATTGATGAGAGAAACAGGAAACCCCCTCATTTTGTAGTCAGCTACAAACAAAATCTCAACGGAGCAAAGGCTGATTGGGGGAATAATCAATCAAATTTGAAAACCCAAATTCAGAAAGTTACGAGCAAAGCTAACTTCCAAGCGGCGAAGCTAGTTTTTCATACCTGAATGGCCTGATGGTCCTTGTGGTAGGCGAGGCAGAGAGAGCAGAGGGGGCCATTCATACAATCCAAGCAGTACATATTGCACTCGCTCTTGTGGGAATCGGCATGATTTTTGCATTGAACGAAGAACCGCTCCCTTAGCAGTGGCTTCAACCATGGCGGCCACCTGCCACCGCCACAGTCCACTTCATCTGGACCTCCAGCACCCTGTTCAAAACAAAGAACAGAGTTGGTCAACTCAGTCAAACATGGCTCAAATCGACTTTTATGAACCCAGAAACTTCAAAAGAAGGGACTGAAACCGCCATTGTTGTCGCTTTTGAAAGAAGACCCAGAAACGGAAATCGGAACCAAACAACAATCGGAATCACCCAGTAAAGAATGACAAGAAAAGAAAGCCAAAAAAGGGAGGAAGAAGGGTAGAAGAGCACTGTATCGGTTTTCAAACTCACCATGATTCTCCTGTTCTTGGGCTTGATAGCAGTGTCCTGACTATCGATCGCCAGCTTGAAACAACGACCCAATGAGCCAATGGCGGAGGAGAAAACGAAGAAATAGAAAGAAAACAGAGGATTGCTCAAGAAACAAAGTGAAGCTTGGGAGTAGAGAGGAGAGAGGGGGGTTGGTTTTGAGAATGGCGAGCAGAGTTTTTGGGGCAAAGTGAAGGCGGCTGAGAAAATCGGCTCCTTCCTTTGTAGAGTGAGAGAGGGGAGGGAGGGGGGAGGGAGAGTCAATGGAAATGAGAAAATTGTTTCCGGGGAAAAGGAAATAAATTTTTGGGGGAAGGGGAGGGAAAGAGGCCTTGTTCTTATCCTGACGAAAAGTCTACAGAAGGGCAAGGCTCAAGGAGGAAGTGCGCGTTTCCTTCTTTTTTGGCGCCAACGTGCAATTTGGCGCTAACTTTTTATAGTTTGGTCTATTCGGCCTTTAAATTTCTAATTGTGACAATCAAATCCGTTGACTTTTTCTTTTTATTTTAAAAGAGGAGACTTTCTACATTGTGGTTCATTGAAATTCTTTTCTTCAAAAAATTGTGGGTATACCTGGAATCCTTAACTATATTTTTCTACACATTACATGAGACTATAGAGTCAGAGCAGTAATTAACCTATTTCGTTTATGCTAGGTGATCCAATGAAAAGAGTGACACATGCAATATATGTCATATCAAACGTCACGTCACGCAAGAGTAAATAGATATTGTAAGCATTTCTTCGAGATCAAATTGACAAGCAGACTTTGATTCTCGATCAAAAAAGTTGTCATTGTTAAGAGGTATGGAACTTGGGCCGATTAGCAATGCCGCGATTAGAGACATTAACAGAACCCAAGCTAAATGTATTGGACGAGATCCTTCGCAGGTACTTTTGATTAGTGGTCTAAGTTAGTAGTACAAAGATCGTGACAATTCAATTCCGTAGACCAGTCCACAAAACATCACTAAGTCGTTTGGATGTGGAAATTTGAAAACGTTGGAATTTGTCTGAATTTCCATGTTTTACAAAACCAAGGAATTGACTTGTGGAAATTGAAAAAAATTCACGTTTGGATAGGGTTTAGTTTTGTGGGAATTGATTGTGTGGAATTTGGAAAAAGAAGTGAGAAAACGTAGTAATGTCAAATTACTAGGGGGAGGTGTAGTATTCTCAATTACCATGAATGTGGTAATTGAAGCCAATTTCCATGGTCCAATTCCCATACCCTTTTTGCTCTCCCAAACGTGGGTTTTTAACCCAATTACTGCATTATGTGGTAATTAAGTCCAATTACTGCATTACATTTCCACATCCAAACGACCCCTTAAAGTTTCCATGATAATGTGAGTCAGAATTACCACGATTGACTGGCCAAGTCCTCGTCATAGATGAGAATCTCAATTTTGTAAGTTGAAGGATTTTGATTGTCATAGTTTAAAATTGAAGGACTTCTGTTAGCTGAAAGAATCAAAGTGGACGCACTAAACATCAACTCCTAACCCTGGTTCGGTTGTCCCCGAACCTAATTCCTTGCTCCTGACCTAAAAAACTCCTTTTCGGAAAAGCCCCGTGGAAAGGAAAGGAAGAAGATGCGTTGGGAACAAGGAACCACCCTCCTTCTTTCGTTTTTTCTTTTGTGTGTTTGTGGAATTGTTATTATTTTGTTTCCTTTCTTTTTCCATGGCCAAGTCTTCATATGTACAAAATTAGCATCAATTACAATTGGAGCCACAAAACTTTTGGTAACTAAACAAATTAGTCATTGGTTATTGATTTTAACAAGTTTGCTACTAAAGTTTTGTAATAACAAGCACAATAGTTGAGTTGTCAATCTATGTTAAGCTTTTTTTTATCCAAATTATACAAGAGTGCATTAAGGGGTTTTTTAGAGCTATGGTTATGAAATCTTGATACTCGTCCAGTTCCATGGACGATAAGTGTATACAAACAACCAAGCAACACGTACAATCTAACATTTATCCAAGCACTTCCGTTCCGTTGACATGCATTGTACAATGAGTAATTTAAGGTAAAAGTGGAAAACAAAAATGCAAATGGTATTAACAGCTAGCTAATCAAAACTCTGCCGCAGAACAATGGTTGCTTCTTCAAGTAACGGGTGGGGCTCGTGTGACAATGGTTTGCAATTATAATAAGAGGTCGTAGTATCGGTGCTAAACTATCTTTGTCTCCGTGTAGACAATAAAGATGTGATCAATGGTGAAAACCGTGACATAGACTTTCGCTATATCATCATAAAAGATAGCTAACTCATTGTCTTGTCGTGAACCCCGCAACAAGATTGAACTCCGACTTATTGTTCAATCCCACTGCAACAATGGCGATATATGTAACACTTTGGATTCACTCTTTCCTATATATTAATTAGATACTATGAATTTTGAACAATTGACACACTAATGCAAACAATGTGTATGACAGTGTCAATTGGTATGAACAATGGGATTATTATGTTAGTTATTTTGAACTTCAACAATAAATTTGTCAAAACAATAAATCAAGTGATTCATTAGTTTGTGAATGTAAAATCTAATGATTATTTCTTGACCCACTACAATTATTATTGTATTCCTGAATTTGGATTGGCGGAATTTAAATAGTTTTTAATTAGCCGGTTTCTCATTCTTCGTGTCTTTCATTTTCAATGGACTTGGCCAAATTTTGGTTTGGACCTAGCACTCAATCTCACTCGAGTATCAACTAGAAAGTCTGAGACTTGTATAGCATCATTCTTTTTGTAGGTACGTATTCCACATAATTTTATGTAAAGAAAATGAAGACTTCCTAAAGTAGTTACATTCACCACTCATATTATTAAAATTCAGAGTTCGGTTTCTAAATGTCACCGATATTCAAAGTAAATCAACGGATTTTCAATATATCAACAATTCGATTTTAGGAAATGCATTTATTTTATACACGGTAATGTTATCGAATAGAAGATTAACTATATCGACAATTTAAATTATAGGAACGAATTAAGGAGTTTACTTAAAAACTCTATCCTATCTAAAGGTCTTTCTTATATTCCCTTGGCCCAAAGAAAAAGGCTATTCATCAGCAAGAAAAAGAGTAAGACAGATCAAGATCTCCTCTAGTTAGAAGAAGAGCGCGACCGAAACCAAGCATGAAAGATTCGTGACATCCATGTACTGAATCGTCAAATGAGCCACGTCAATAAAGCCCAAGCTTATACACATTGACCCACAGGAGGTCCCAAACTTCCAGTATCCCTCTTCCACAAGTATTCTCTTCATCTCGATCTAAACACTAACAACGAAGTTAAACGAAATACAATCAATAATCTATACAAACTCCAGCTCGTAAAAACCCTCCTAAATCATAAACCCATCTGTACAATGTAGGTGAACAAATGTAAGATACCTAACTAGTTAGTTAAGTGGCAGAGGGTGTCTGGCTCAATCCTAATCCGCTGTCTTGTCTCCTTCTGGTTTTCCTGATGTCTCTTATCTTTGTTGGGTCTAATTCTATGATTATAAAAGTGATCCATTATTGGGTGCTTGATAGTTATTATTATTATTTGCTATTGGGCAATTATTTTGGTTTTATTAATCTTTCTCGAGCAAATAGCCCATTCATCCATCCATCCCCCGTCGTTTTCATTCATTTCCCATTCTTTCTCCCCCAACTTTTCTATGGATAGACATGCACCCGATATGTGTTGCTATTTTATTATGCATATATTCCATCTCCAGATGACAGATTTCTTTAATTAATTAATTAATCAATTAATTATATGGATAGATGTCCTTCTATGTAACTCATTTATTCAATGGGTTCCAAGTTGGAAATCCAACAGATTACAGTTCCTTACGTTGGCAATTTGGAACAAGTGGATGGATGGAAACTCATAGGGAACACTGTTGTCTGAGTTTGACATAACATATTTTTTATACCTAATTAATATATATAGCCTAATGCCATTTTTAGTCCCTAATTTATATTGTTTTACAAAGTACATAAGTTAAATGTGTATATTAACAAAGTCATATTTGTTTGTCCGGTTGTACATTGCTCTGTATTAACACTTCGGTTTTGAATCCACTATATATAACGGAGTCCAGGGGCGGAGGAGAGGGATACCCTGACTTGGGAGAAATAATGGTAAATTCGGTATAATAGTTAATCGGGTAGGAAAAATAATATGTATTTAAATGAGAAGGATTGATTGTTTGAATATTTTATGTATGTTTCAAAGTTTGTGTATTGACATATTCAATGTTTTTATAACAAACTATGTATGATCCGCCTAATTTGTAAACATAATTTTATTTCAATTAAGGGCAGGGAGAGTGTAAGTGGTGGCTCTTACTCTTAGTGACGAAAATGAGTAAATTAGTACAATAGTTAATTGATAACGAAATTTAGGGCACTTCTAATTGAGAATGGTTGACCAAGAAATCATGTGTTCGAATCTTGGCGACTCCGTTTATTAAGCACATTATATTTGAATTGGCAAAAACTTTGAGCACGTATAAGTTGGTTTTCGTTAGTGGGAAAATGTTAGTAAACACTAAATAGTACAAGATCAATTATTAAACCTTTCGCAACAACTCGACTTATTGATACTAAATGGTATTGACAAAGAACACCATTCCAAAACAATTGTCTAACTAAATCATGAATAACGGTTTGATATATTTAGAGCGGTATTTTTTACAGTTTCGAAAAATATTTAGTTTATCATGTTTTTGTAAATACAAAATTATATCATGAATGATTTAAAAAGCTAACAAACTATTTTATCGTGTGTATTTTTTTCTAAATAGACCCACCATGTACAAAATCCTGGCTATGCCCCTGACGGAGTCGAGCAATATTATTAGTAAATGTGGTTTTGTCTCTCTTATTTACACGGAATTTGCTAGTCTCGATCACATTACCTTTTCTACTAAGCTCTACTTCTCCTTTTATGCTCTTATTTCGCTTGTCATACATCGAACTTAGTTCGTTTCTTACATATGCTCCACTGTTTTGATATATACAGAGCATTGACAAATTCATAAAAAGAAAATTCGGGGTTGGGCTCATTCTTGTTTAAGCCACACTTTCAAGATGCGTTGAAACAACGACATTTTATACGCTCTCTGAAATATAAGTATCATTCATACAACCTACAACAAAAGATACATAAAAAAATATGTAGAGATATGTGGGTCGAACAGTGATACACTACATTTCCTCTTCTTTATATACCGGAGCATTAGTACTTAGTAGTACGAATGTTAATAAGATATGTTACGAGTACTACTAATTGTGTAATTTGTCATAGAATCCTGTTG